CTTCTCACCATCTTCCCTGGCTCATTTTCAGACGCTGTGAGCGGATCAACTGTCCCGTCAGTTCCTTAGACTGTAAGAACTCTCCCTTGTGGATCACGCACTACCAGCTCACATATGAGACCAACATCATCATTCCAGCTCAGATCTTCCGAATTGGCCCTAACCCGGCCTACTCCGGAGATCATATTGTCATCAGCATCAGGAAGGGGAATGAAGAGGGATACTTCAGCACACGCAAGCTGAACAGCTTCACAGGCGCCGTCTACCTGCAGAGAAAGGTCCGCGAGCCCAAAGACTTCCTGATAGACGTGGAAATGAAGCTGGTGAGGCAAGGGACGTTGACTTCATTCTTGGCCAAGATTCACGTCTTCATAACAACCAGCACTATGTAAAGCCAAAGAGACAGACAGAGACTAGACATTTCATATGGTGCTAAACATTGGTGGCGTTTAGATTTTTGTAATGCCTCTAAAGGTTAAAGCATGATTTAGGAATCTTGTAGAATATTGCCAAAGATTGAATTATTCCTATCATGGCAGGCTCTCTGCTATGTTTCCTTGAAAGTAATGTTTCCTGAAAAACCTTGTATTTCTACGTATGTATTTTTCAGCTTCACTCTAGCAAACATAATTTAGCTTTTATACACTCGCACTATTAGTGTCTGTTCAACTGCGTGTGTAGACGTTGGCTGGTCTCGGTTATTGGTTTATTCCCTCATTACCCTTTTGGTGATGTTTCGCACCTTCGGCTGGCTTTAAGATACAACTGTAAGATTGTGTTGTTTTTTCCTCTCACTTCACTGATATGTCAGCACAGGAGCTGAGAGATTTTCACATTACAGAGAGGGAGATGCTACAACGGCCAGGATGGTGATGTGGCTGTGGTGACATCACACGATGCCTAGTGGCCACTTTTCCATAGATAAGGTCCAAAACTGACAAAATGAATATATGAGAACAAATATTCTCAGAAGTCTAGGAAGCAGTATAAATCGTTCAATTTCAACCTTTATTTGTGTAGTTTAAAAAATAATCTTTCAATAGTTTTAGATTAAAAAAATCAAATAAAGGATATTTATTTTGGTATCGTATGCTTATTTCACTTGGTATTTTTTGTGATTTGGCATATTTCACATGTAAATGATAAATGTTAGTGACATATCCACAGAGCTGGGCAACACAAAGGGGAAATGGAGCGTTTCTCCAATTAAAAAAAAAGAAAGAAAAAAGTTTTTCTCCCATCTCATAAAATATACTAAAAGCAAAACTACGTAAATTAATGTAATCAGGGTTTTTTTTTCATTATTATTTTGCCCGTTTTGGACCTCCATAGCGTTGTGTATATTATTTATGAATATGTGATCTGATCAAATGAGTTCAAAACACACAAAAAAATAGTGATGATGTCATTCTAGCACTGACAGTATTATTATAGAGGAGGTTACATTTTATTGTTTCATGTTATACTCTTTAGTTTGTAACCAGATGCATCTTTTTTATTTGACTGTGTAATTATCTCAGGGTAAAAACCACATTCTCTTTTACACACGAGACAATTTCCTGTGTGGTGTGCAGGACTGACTCAGCCTCACACAGCATGTACATTTGTATCTGTAAACTGACTGATGATCAAACCGTTGTCAATAAAAGGGCACAGTGTCAGCGTGCGTTTGTCCACGTCAGTAACACCGTCACACGTCGGAGCGCTGGCTCCTCAGTCAACAGTGAACCCACATCCCCACCTACTGGTGTCAGAAGGTCCCACTATTAATACACTTATAAAGTCATTTAGATATTCTGAAGAAAAACAGCTGTGCCACACACATTGGGCACTTCTTATCTGAAATGTTTTTATCACCTCTTCCGCTGCTCCACAAGGAACATGTCGTCTGTGTTCCACCCTGTGGCATTCCCACCCGGAAAGTGTGCGCTCCAGCCTATTAATACATTCCAATAGATGACAGTTCAACTGGAAACTAGAGGGTGGGGTCACTGTAAATCAAACACCACAGTTTGGCTGATACTGAATAATAACACTGATATTTTAAGACTGCAGTTGCTGGGTGTGAAATCACCCAACATAGAATGTCAGAAGAGCTTTTTACCGAATCCTAGAATAAATAAAGGATGATGGCGATCTTTTTTTTTAACATAATTCAATAAATAACAATAAAAACTAAACACAGTATATACATGTGTTGTATTTGCAGAAGGTACTGCAAATTCTACTCAAACATAAAAACCCTCTCTCTGATCTCTGAGTGTTTGTTTGCTTGTGTTGAATTTTGTCGGTACTATGTAGAAAGAATTCATAGGCTGTGAAAACAAAATGAAGAGGCCAAACATTTCCTCTGAATTTGAATCCAACTCAAAGTGACTTTATTTTCTATGAAGCAGAGATGGGACCAAGTCATTCAATTCAATTCAATTCAATTTAATTTATATAGCGCCAAATCACAACAAAAGTCGCCTCAAGGCGCTTCATAGATACAGAGAAAAACCCAACAATCATATGACCCCCTAT